ACCTACTTGGAACAAGCTTAGCAAAGCAGGGGACTGCGGTTCAATCCCCCAGCACCACATGCCAGCCAGCCCCGCCCCCTGGTGGGCTGGGCTGGCCACACACACACACACACACACACACACAAATAAAATTTTAAAAAAAGAAAAGAAATTTATCCATTCTTCTGAGCTTTCCGTTTTATTAGAGTCCAGGTTCTCAAAGTAGTTGTGAATAATCTGGATTTTTGCAGAATCCATTGTGATTTCACTTTTTTTTTAAATTTTTTTTGGTTTCTAATTATACAAATTTGGGTCTTCTCGTTACTTTTGAAAATAATAATAGCCAAGGGTTTGCATATTTTGTTGTTTGGTCAAAGAAACAATTCTTCAATTCATAGATTATTTGTATTTTTTAAAGTCTCAATTCAATTAATTCATTCATTAATTTCTGCCCTGATCATTATAATTACATTCCTCATATTAGGTTTGGATTTGAATTCTTACTGCTTCTCTAGGACTTTAGAGATGTATTATTAAGCTATTTATTTGGGCATGTTCTGTTTTGCTAATGTAGGAATTCATTGCCATAAACTTCACTCTTAGGACAGCTTTCATTGTGCCCTATAGTTTTTGATGTGTCATATTGGCATTATCATTTCATTATAGAAACTGTCTAATTTTAAATTTTTATCTGTGACTCATTGATCATTCAAGAGGGTATTATTTAATTTCCATTTGTTTGCATAGTTTTGGGTATGTTTTGCCATTAGTTTCTAGTGTCACTTCACTATGGTCTGATAATACGCATGGGATAATGTCAGTTTGTTGGGAACCAATCAGACTGCTTCAAAGCTCAGGGGCATCTAAGGATACCTGAGGATGTGACCCGACTTGTCTAGTGCAGACACACAGTGAGATACAGTTAGGTAACTATGACTTATCACAGGTAAACAGGCATGTGCTGGTTACAGCACTATATAAGAATGTAAATACTGGATAACAACCTGTGTAAGAATTATACAATAAAGATGCAGGTGGCTGTGGCTCTTGTGCTTTGCTCCATGGTGCCTGCTGTTGCTGCTGATATTTTGCATACAGGCATTCTTTTTCGTTTGTACAGGGTCTCACTATGCATCTTGAACTTGTAGTGATCCTCCTGTTTTCAGCCTTCCCAGTGCTGGGATTACAGGCATGTACCACCATACCCAGACTCAGTAGCCAGCTCAGCATGTCCAGGGATGGGGCCAGCCCAGCATGAAGTACTGAGGATGGAACGTTGGTCCCTGCGCTTGCCTAAGCGGACACTTAGTCTGCTGAGCAATCTCACTGGCCTGCACACAGGCATTCTTTAACCCTGGGACCTCACCCATGAAAATCTCCCTTGAGCCCTCAAGCAGGCCGACACAGTTCTTTTACATTTACTTAAACATGCTCTGTGGGTTGGGATGTGGCTGTTTTAGGCAAAGTCTCATGTTATGCCAAGAAGAACATGTACACTATTGTTTGGTAGAACACCCTGTAGTTATCTATTAAGTCCATTTGTTTGATGGTTCGGTTTAGCACTGGTATTTTTTTGTTGATTTTTTGCCTACCTGGTCTGTCTCTTCGTGACAGTAGGGTATTGAGATTTCCTATTACAATTCTACTGGTGTTCATCTTTTTTTAAAATGTCTATTAGTGTTTGTTTTATGAAGTTAGGCGTTCTAATATTTGGTATATGTGTGTGCATGTGTATATTTAAGTTTTTTATTCAACCAGATTTTATTGGTACATTTTGGTTATACATAATGATGATATTCACCATAGAGAGTTTCTACCTGCACATGACACAACTTGATTTTCCCCATTCTTTTACCCTCCCTTCAGCCCTCCTCCTTTCCCCATTTACAAAAGCATTGTTTCCATTTTTTCCTTCTTTTCTCGCTTTTTAATTTCTTTTCCTTCTTTTCTTTACCCCTCTCCCTCTCTTGTTCCCCTCCCCATTTGAACATTTTCTTCCTGTTTCACAATACCTAATACAAGGGCCAGTCAATAGCTCAGCAGATTCAAGCACATGCAAGCAGGCACAGGGGTTGGGGGTTTGATCCCCAAGCCTGTCTGCCGGCCCCACTCCCAGGGCATGCTGAGACAGCAATCGAGACTGGGCGTGGTGGCGTGTACCTATAATCCCAGATCTTGGGAGGCTATAAACAGGCCAATCACTAGGAGTCCGATCTAGTAGTGAGACCCTGAACACCATGTAGACCCTTCCCTAAAATACAAAACAAAACAAAAACCTAAGGGGCTAGGGAAATAGCTCAGTAGAATAAGCACTTGCCTGGCAAGCGCAAGGTCCTGAGTTCAGTTCCCAGTACCGCAAAAAAAAAAAAAAAAAAAAAAAAATCAAAAAATCTTGTAATACTGTCTTGGTGGTCATGAATTTCTTGAGGTGCTCCTTGTTGTGGAAATACCTTATTTATTCATTACTTTTTTTTTTTTCCCCTGGGCGCTGGGGTTTATTTCACAACAGAACCACTGGGAACCTGGCCTGAGGCGCACACAGGGCTCCAGATGTGGTGGGACACAAGGTGACAAGCATGACGATCACAGCTGGGGTCATGGGCTCCTGGTGGCCCTGATGGCATCTACAGAAGCGGTGGCAGGAGGAGACCTAACTACCTGGGCCTGAGGCCCGGGCTCTGGCCTGCTGCGGCCTATTTGCTCAGGGGGTTTCTGAAGTTCCGGCTGGCAAACTTGGCCTTGCTACCCAGCTCCTCCTCGATTCTGAGGATCTGGTTGTACTTGGCCAGGCGCTCGGATGGGCAAGGTGCGCCAGTCTTAATCTGCCCAGTGCTGAGTCCCACCACCAGGTCAGCAATGAAGGTGTCTTCCGTCTCCCTGGACCGGTGGGACACCATGACGCCCCAGTCGTTGGACTGCGCCAGCTTGCATGCCTGCAGGGACTCAGTCACTGAGCCGATCTGGTTGACTTTGAACAGCAGGCAGTTGCAGGCCTTCTCATTCACGGCCTTGGCGATACGCTTGGGGTTGGTCACTGTGAGGTCGTCGCTCACCACCTGGATGCCAGCACTGGCCGTGAACTTCTGCCAGGCGCCCCAGTCGTCCTGGTCGAAGGGGTCCTCGATGGACACCACTGGGTAGTCCTTGATGAAGGACTTGTAGAGGTCACCCAGCTGGTCGGGTGAGATGTACCTACTGGGGTTGTCAGGAGACTTGAAGTCCAGGTCGTACTTCCCAGACCTGAAGAACTCGGATGCGGCCATGTCCATGCCAATGACCACCTTGTCCGAGTAGCTGGCCTTCCCAATGGCAGTCTTCAGCAACTCCAGGGCTTCCTTATTCTCCAGGATGTTGGGTGCAAAGCCACCCTCATTGCCCACGTTGGTGGCGTCCTTGCTGTATTTCTCCTTTGTTGTAGCTCAGAAATCAGATGACAACGAGGCAAGTCCAAAAGTTAAAAGAAGTGCTTTATTTTAGCCGGTACCCAGCGGCGGTCTCTATGCAAGGTGCAAAGAGGTGCGCCGAGCATTAACAAGGATCAGTATTTAAGCTTGAAAACCGCAGAAACAGGGGAGGGGTGGAGAGGAAGAAGTGGCAGGGTCATTAGTTCATGGGGTGGTCCTGTTGGGTGAAGGTGCTGAGTTGGCAGTCATACAGAGTTCATTGAGATAAGGTTTGGGGAACAGATATCATAAGACTTGAGTCATAGGGGTGAGGAATTGGGAGGAATTGGGAGGAATTTGAGTTGGCAGTCAAGGGGTGAGGAATTGGGAGGGGTCAGCGCATACAGCACAGGAACTCGGTGAGGTTAGAAGGGCAACAAAATGGAGTCAATTTTGACAGGGTACAACATCCTTGATGACGTTCTTCAGGTTGTGGTGGACCTCGGCCCCGATGTGCATGGCCTCCTTGAAGCTGGCCGCGCCCACAGGCAAGATCATGAACTCCTGCACAGCCAGCTTATTGCCAGCGTGCGAGCCACCGTTGATCACGTTGAAGGCAGGCACAGGCAAGATGACCTCAGGGTTGCCTGCCAGGTCGGTGATGTGGCGGTACAAGGGCACCCTCTTCTCCACGGCGCCGGCCTTGCACACTGCGAGAGACACTCCCAGGATGGCATTCGCTCCGAACTTGGATTTGTTTTCAGTCCCATCCATCTCGATCATCAGCTTATCAATCTTCTCCTGCTCCACGACATTCAGTTTCTTGCTAACCAGGGCAGATGCAATAGTTTTATTGATGTGCTCAACAGCCTTTTTCACACCCGTGCCCAGGTAGCGGGTCTTGTCATTGTCACGCAGCTCTAGGGCCTCATCGATGCCAGTGGAGGCCCCACTGGGCACAGCAGCTCGGAGGAGACCTTTGGAGGTGCAGAGGTCAACTTCCACAGTGGGGTTCCCACGAGAGTCAAAGATCCCTCGGGCATGCATCTCAAGAATCGATATGTTGGATTTCTGGCTACCAGATCTCGTTGCCCAGGAAGGAAAAAGAGGGTGCTATACACACCGAGATGCGTGTTGAAGTGACGAGGTGCTCTGCACACTGTCCACCAGACTTCCTGCCTGAGCTTTTCAGAGGTAGCTGGATCTGAAGTGGGTGATGTTGGGATCAAGGCTGTGTTATTACTAAGCCAGTCCACTGATTGGTTTGACGTAGGTCTGGGTATGGACAATGGGAAGGCGTGTCCTTGGCGTGAGTGGTTCCCATCCTAGGAACACATATCTTGATGTAAGGGATTCAAAGAGGGCTGCTGTGCACTGCTTCACTGCTTTGCTGCCTTCTTGCCTTCTGTTTCTCCTCTGTGATGCCCCTCGGCCAGGCCACCCCGCCTCAGAACAAGCAGATCACGGACTGAAACCTTGAGAAAGCATGAGCCAAGTAAGCCTTTCTCCCTCTGATGTTGAGTGTCAGGCATTTTGTCTCAGCAATGAGAAAAGTAACTAAGAAAGAGGGAGAGAAAAGAAAGAATATAGTAAAAATAAAAGAAATTCTTAAGAGGAGAAAAGTTAAAGGGGAGAAGAGGTGAAAACAGAGAAGAAAAAGAGATTAATTCCATGCTGGCCCCGCCCCCAGGATGCACTGAGACAGTGATTGAGATTGGGCATGGTGGCACATGCCTGTAATCCCAGAATTTGGGAGACTGTAAACAGGAGGATCACTGCGAATCTGATCTATGCAGTGAGACCCTGTGTACCCTAAGAAAAGAAAAGAAAAAGAAGCCATACAGTTATATGTAGAAGATGGGCAAGGCAATGATCTTGAGAATCTCCAGAAGATTTTTGAATCTAGCAGTTAATTGGAAAGATTCTCACCCTGACTAACTATATATACTGATACCTGTGAAATAAGCAACTGCACTGAAGATGGTAATCTGTAATAGTAGTTTCATGCTTGGAGTGCCAGTCATTCTGGCCTTCTGAATACAGGCTGCTTGTCATGACATGCCAGTTGCTCCTGGGCTGTCTCTTGGGTAGATAATTGTTCAAAAGAAAGGGGGTGGTGAATGAAGGCAGGAAAGAGGAAAAGAAATATTGTGGGACTATCCTGCTTCAAGGTTGTATATGGTTAGATTTTTGGACTTATGTGTAAACATAAGAAGTATATAATTCTTTATGTCTATTTTTAAAAATATATTCTAATTTTTAAATGTTTTTTCATCATATTCTGTAGGGACTTAAAGTTCAATATATCAATACTTGATGAAAAATACCTGTTCCATGTTATGCCTAAGATGTTTGATATTCAGACAGATAGTGAAGTTAAGCTTAACAGCCTAAGTTGTATGGTAATAACAATAAGCTTGTCTTCTGGATGGTTAACAACCCAAGTTTGCAGACCAAAATTAGAGAAAAAGGAGGGCTGCAAGGAAAGCCAACATTTTGGCCCTAGCCTTCCAAGGTAAATTAAGACTCAGGACATATGAGAACATGTACTGTAACATCATGTAACTCGGTAGTGTCCCAAATTTTCTGAACAAGGAGATTATGGGGTCAAAGAGGAAAGTGATCGATGATGTAGAGTGTGCCTAAGGAGAGTCACATGGAGAGAAAACATTCTCTCAGGCTTTCACAGAAAGCACATTGGCCAAGCAATGGCCGTGACTCATCCACATGGCTGACACTGACAAAGGTTCTACAATCTGAGGTACAGGATCTCAGGATAAATCCTGAGGGGATTTCACTGACCTTCTCAGACCCAAAAACTACAACTCTTGTTGCATAGGTCCTGCTTTACCTTGGTCTTAACCATCCAGCAGAAAAGTATAAAAACGAAATATAAGAAGTAAAGCCATGCTGTTATGTTGAGCTGTAGGGGACTCAGGTCAACAATTTCTGACATTGCCAGTGAAGCGGAAGACCCAATACTATTATGGGCTACTGAACTCTTTTAGAATATTTTGCTGAGTTTACACACCTATAATATTCAAATAACAGAACTTAACAAAAAAAGGGTATACAGAGGATTGTATCTGTGTATTCAAAGTGGTTAGGATAGATATATAGTTACACTCTCTTAATGAATAGAGGGATTTGTTCTAATGGTGTTTGTAAATAGGATATCACATCCACATCTTGTACAGCAATTAACCACTAGGAAGAATGTATGCAATGTGCTAATTATTGAAACTGTCCTACCAATTTGGTTTGAAACTGTCTCATCGCTATTTGTTTCTCAATAAAATTATAGGGGAAAAAAAAGAAAAGAAAAAGAGATTAGAGGCTGGGGAGATAGCTTAGTTGAGTAAGTGCTTGCCTGGCAAATGCAAGGTCCTGAGTTTGATCCCTGGTACAAAAAAAAGAAAAAGAAAAAGAGATTAGAAGCAAGGTAGGAAATGAATATTAATGAATTCCCAGGAAACTGGTGAAGAAGAAAGAAGAGAAAAAAATTTAAAAAAGAATACAACCAAACAAATAAACTAAAAATAAGTGCATACTGGGGGTGGGGGGGGGGAGAAAAAGATAACCAAATGAACAAAAACAAAAGCCTGAATAATTTCTCTGTGATTTCACACTGTGGTCATCCTCCAGGATACTGTCTGGAGCAGTGTGCAATTCAAGATGTGTCCCTGTTCTCAGCATCAGACAAAGAAGGCCATCAGAACCCAGGCCCATGTTGGGTAGTCCCTAGCACACAGGCAGCAGGCCTGGGGCAGAGGTGCCAATTCTGGGGTCTTCAAGTTCATGGAGATTCAGGCTGAACCTGGCTTCTGGCCATGGGCATGGGGCCTGGGTTGTTTAGCTACTGACAGTCGCTTGCTGGCTTGACCATGGCTCTGTGACCATAGATCCCTCCTGTGGCTGACCCTCACCCAGGCTATGTGGGCCTATAAAGCTAGGAGCCCTGAAATAAAACCAACCCGTAGTTGCTTCAAGTATCAGGCTCAATCAACCCTGGCGTGGTGTCCGAGTTCTCACAGGAGCTCGGGCTGGCATCCCTCACCAACTGTCTCAACTCTGCATCCACCTGTATTCTTCTGTGCCTCACCATGAAGGTTTTGGAGACCACCCCACCTTCACAAGGTCGCTTGGAGACTTGGCCCTATCTTCTCACCAGCTAGAAGCCAGGAGCCAGAAGAAAGCACAGATAGTCCCTCCTTTTGTCCACATTCTGTTCTATCTCTTCACTCTGTCAGCAGATGGAAGCTTTCCAGTCAGGTTCTTCCTGGGACCCCCCTGGATCTGCTGACTCAGCCTCCATCCTTCTTTTCATCCCCATGTCATTAGTTTCCAATGTCTGGATTCTGAATCTTGGAGCCGCTGGTTTGTTGCTGCTTACTGATCTGCATCTTCCCGGAAGTCCTACTAAATTATTTCTGCTGCTTAAAATACATCCCTGCCCATTTTATTTATTTAAGAAAAAGTGTAAATGAATTATGCTGCTATAAAGTCTACTGAGCTGATCATTTCCATGCTTTTGAGGTTTTTCTCCTCCCTGTCACTCCCTGAAGAGCATCTTTCTTTGTGTATGAATGCTTTTCTGCACCGAAGGTGATTTTTTTAGGATAAATTACTAGAGATAGAACTACTGGTCCCAAAGGGACACATGTCTTAAGGATCTTGATTTGCAAAAGTGCAAAATGGTAGTAAGCATCCACACCAGCAAGCTGCCCTTTCTGCTCTGCTCTTGTGTGCTAAAGGATGGGTTGTAAAACATTTCATTATTTATAAATTTAAAAGTCCTATTTCATTACTGTATTAGTTTATTTATCTTGGATCATCACTGAGGTTGAATGTCTTTCCAAAAACAGGCTGGCCAAATAGCTCAGTGGATTACAGCGCCTGTTTAGGCAGACGCAGGGGCCAGGCGTTTGATTCCCAGGGCCTGCTGTGCCAGCCCCACCCCCAGGGCATGCTGAGACAGCAATGGAGACTGGGCTTGGTGTCGCCGGCCTGTAATCCCTACTCTCGGGAAGCTGTAAACAGGCAGGTCACTATGAGTCTGATCTAGTAGTGAGACCCTGAAGACCCTGTAGACCCTTCCCTAAAAAAACC